GGTGGTTTTTATTGTATACTGGAAAATCTCTGCTTTTAGTTGGTGCACATTAGTTGGTGCACATTAGCCAACATGTATGTACATTTTTATAGCATGCCGATCGCGTCATCAAACATATCGCGGCAACGCTGTTGTGTAAAAAAAAAAAAAAAAAAAAAACACCAAAAACCCGTGCATGCACATTCTCATTTATTAACGCACATAAATAAATTTCAAGCATATATTAATACAGTATATTACCGCCAAATTGGTTTTCGGTTATCTCGACGCTTTTTGGCAATCCCCTAGGCCGGCGACATAACCGGGTTCGACTGTAAATCCAAATGTGATTAAAGAAGAATACCAACAGGATAAAATTAAATTTTAGATGCTGCTCACTGGTGAGTTGTGCTATTTTTAATTTCCACGGACTCGTGGTCCTTGGGGGCGTCCTGTCATGTTGGTGACCCCTGCTATAGACTGTACTGCAGTGGACTTTATTTCTCCTGAATTCATCACTTCTGTTCCCATGACCCATTTCCAAGCTTATGTTTGCTCTTCTCTGTGCCTCATTATTCAGTCCAAGCTCTTGTGCCAGAGAGGGGAATGAAGAAGTTCCCCTTTTTTTACTCTCTGCCGTCCTACACATCAGAGCCATACCGTCACATCGTGACACTGCCATATACGTCACAGACTTATGTCCACAGACACCTCAAGAAATCCCACCGTCAGAAGTTTCACCTCAGTATGACACCGAAAGTTCACTGCTGCTCCCATTGTGGGAAGAACTTCCGTCGATCAGAAACCCTAAAGACACACCAACGGATTCACACAGGAGAGAGGCCCTACCACTGCTCCCAGTGTGAGAAGAGCTTTAATACATTAGGAACCCTAAAGAACCACCGGCGGGTTCACACAGGGGAGAGGCCCTACCAGTGTGCCCACTGTAAGAAGAGCTTCAAGCAATTATCATCCCTAAAGACCCACGAGCGGATTCATACAGGGGAGAGGCCCTACCAGTGTGCCCACTGTAAGAAGAGCTTCAANAAGAGCTTCAAGCAATTATCATCCCTAAAGACCCACGAGCGGATTCATACAGGGGAGAGGCCCTACCAGTGTGCCCACTGTAAGAAGAGCTTCAAACAATCATCATCCCTAAAGATCCACAAGCGGACTCACACAGGAGAGAGGCCCTTCCCGTGCTCCCAGTGTGGGAAAAGCTTCATTCATGCAGGAGCCCTACAGAAGCACCAGCGGATTCACACAGGGGAGAGGCCCTACCAGTGCTCCCAGTGTGGGAAAACCTTCATTCATGCAGGAGACCTAAAGAAGCACGAGTGGATTCACACAGGGGAGAGGCCCTACCAATGTTCCGAGTGTGGGAAGAGCTTCAGTCATTTAGGATACCTAAAGAAACATCAGATGACTCACACAGGGGAGAGGCCCTACCAGTGCTCCCAGTGTGGGAAGAGCTTCAGCCAGTCAAGCAGCCTAAGGGCACACCAGCGAACTCACACAGGAGAAAGGCCTTATCACTGTTCTCATTGTGCAAAGACTTTTATTCAATTAAGAGATCTTAAGACACACCAACAAGCTCACATTGGGGAATGACGCAGCCGGTGTTTTTGTTGTGGGAACAGTTTTACCTGCTTTGGAGACCAAGTCAGACAGACTCACAAAGGAATGATGCCTTACTAATGCTCCCAGTATGAATAAAACTTTTGTTGCGATTGGAAACTTGTGACAACAATGATAGACTCACATGAATAAAAAACTGTATGTTTGCTTTATGTGTAGGAAGCAGTTCAGTGAAGTGGGGAACCTTAAACGTTCATAAGTATATCGACATGAGAGATGCACTACCACTGCTCAGGGTGCATAGAACACATTTGGTCAATTATCAGAACTGATGAGACAACCCTAATGCTGGCACATGATGAAATGCTGCTGTAGCAGAGGCTGGTCCAGGCTGCTGGAAGCCCCTCTCTGAATCAGGGGGGTTTGCAGGCTGGATGGGTTATGCTCAGAGTCCTGCAGGGGTATCTGTGTGGGACCAGGTAGGGAGTAGTCATGTTAATTATTGATCAAACTGGGCAGTGAGGGTGAAGCCCAGGGTAATATCAGTAATAATAATAATAGACAGGTGAACCTTAACTACTGCCCCCCCTACTGTCCTGCAGGAATACCTGATCCCTGGGGGGAAGCACCCTGGGGCACTCAAGTCCATCACAGACTCATCCTCTTGTCATATTTTACCTGATGGGTACCACACAGATCTTTGCTTTTGGCTTTTAAAGGCAGCCTGTCCCTATTCTTCATATCCTAGTATAGGCTGGTGTAGTTTACCATTTCATGTTCTCATGCGCAGTTTGTTTCCAATTTTAGTTAAGCTTCAGTTTAATTGAGTTCTCACAGACAATCCAAAGAAAAGCGATGCCATTACTTTGTAGGGACGGTAATGGGAATGGTAATTACAAAATTAATTTGTTTTATGTATTTTTACTTTATATTTTCTATTAATCATTTTTATATGAATATTTTGGGTTGTGGAACGAATCATCTGAGTTTCCATTATTTCTAATGGGAAAATTCGCTTTGATATGCGAGGGCTTTGGATTACGAGCACGTAACAGGTGTTATGCCGAAAAATGCATGCCTGTCTCTAAATGACCGATTGGTCGCTGATCTGAAACGAGTTGAGCTACTTTGTCGAGTAAGGCTAGCGTAGTGCTAATCAATAGCCCCAAAAAACCCGTAAAACTCTAACCCTAACCCCCCAAAAACCTCTAAAACCCTAACCCCTAAAAAACCCTTAAAAGCTGAACTCGTCGGAACACCGGCATGCATTCTAAGGCAGGGATGCCTTTTTCGGCATAACACCTGTTCGAATTCTAACACCTGTTTTGATTTCTAAAACGCTTCAATTCATTATAATAAATGTTTTCTTTTAATATCACTGTAATTGTGGGAGTAGTTAGAATTATCACAAAACAAGAAGGTGGTTCTACACTGCAAAGTTCGACGACATACTTCAGGGTAGTGGTGTGCGGATCGAAGCTGAAATATCGATTCCTCCAGTACCAGTTATTTATATTCTAGAATCGATTCTCATATTAAAATATCGATATTTTAGTCATTTGGGGTAAATGTGTAGTTTATCATTAACAGGAACACAGTGGAAAGTAACTATATTATTGGGATCGTGTAAATTGGAAGGAACTTCTTTCTCTTCCGCCTGTCACAGTCATATGCGTAATACGGCTGTTTAAATGCATCGCGGCGCGTTGGTGTGCTCCCTCGCAACAATGGCTGAGCGTAAACGGAGTCATGTGTGGAGCTATTTCACCTCCACAAACAGCCAAGACGCGGTTTGTGACACATGCGGCAAGACAGTAAGGTGTTGTGGCAACACCACAAACCTCGTCACGCACCTCAGAGTAAATCATAACACAGAATATGACGAGCTTATGTTGAGGCGAACTGAAGAGGAGGAGAAGAGAGGGACAGGTGCCATTAGGGTCAGACAGCAGTCTCTTGCGGAGTCCTTTGGTGCTGCAGGCAGGCACTATCCAGGTACAGAGGGAGAAGATATATATTATATTAATAAATATGGTTATGAAATAAGTAATGAAATAAATATATGCTACAATAAATAGCTGTATGAGTTCAGCTTGGATTAATATGTGTCCCTGAGTTCACCTCACATCAATTCAGTAGGACTAGATTAGTCAGGTAAGGTTGTCTGTAGAGTAGATCATTTAAAGTGGATTACATAGGCTAGGTGTCATTAAAATATACAGAGTACTTGCAGTAAAACAGGTATTGTGGGCTTTAAAACTGAAAAATATTTCATACATAAGATAGATAATATGTATCTATTAAATATTTCTCAGCTGTATTATTTTCACTGTCTCATTTGTTTTGACTGATGGCTAATTGAATATTTTAAAATGTAGATTTTGACAAACTTATGCAGTATGTGGTATTTATTTATGTGGAAAATAAATACCACATACTTATGTGGTATTTATTTATTTTACTCAATTTCAATTAATCACACTCTATATAAAAGAGTTAGTGTATGTAAACTATCAGTTCCTTTCCCCTTAGTGTAGGGTATTTTGAGAGTCTGCATACATACAGTAGCTGAATCTAAATATTATTAAACATTCAGTGCAGTGTAGCCCCATCACTTGTTTTGCTCTGTGTATTTTATATTGTTTGTAGATGATTCCCCAAGAGCAGCAACACTGACGAGATGCCTTGTAGAGATGATTGTGAAGGAACTCCAGCCTCTGTCCATAGTGGAGGACCAAGGTTTCCAGAGGTTTGTGAGAGCTCTTGACCCAAAATATAAACTCCCAGGAAGAAAAAAACTGACAGAGACTGATCTTGTTAATATGTTTGATGAATGCAAAGGCAAAGTAAGGGCATCTTTGCAAAATGCTTCTAGTGTCGTACTTACCACTGAAATGTGGACTTCAGTGTCCACAGAAGCATTTTTGACCGTAACATGTCATCTGATTGAAAACTGGCAAATGAGGGAATTTGTTCTGGAAACCCACACTTTCCATGGGCAGCATACAGCAGATAATATCAGCTCAGCGCTTAAGTGAATCACAGAAGAATGGGGCGTAACTGAGAAGGTGGTTGCAGTTGTGACAGACAATGGTGCAAATATGGTTGGTGCAGTGCACAAGGCTGGATGGAGGCATCATCCATGTTTGGCACATACACTGAATTTAGTTGTAAGGGATAGTGTAAAAGCTGTCCCAGAAGTGATGCAGGTGCTGGAAAAATGCAGTGCGATCGTTTCCTTTTTTCACCACAGCACAAAGGCCTCAGAGAAGCTCAGGGATATTCAGCAACAGTTGAAAGTGGCAGAACACAAGCTACAGTAATTCAGTCAGTAGATACTCGCTGGAACTCTGTTTTTCACATGTTGGAGAGGCTCTGTGAGCAAAATGAAGCTGTGACCACAGCCCTCTGCCTTTTAGGAAAGAATGCATTGTGCTTAAATGTGGGAGAATTATCCCTCATCAAGCAAACAGTCGACACACTACGGCCGTTTGAAGAAGTAACACGGGAAGTGTCATCTGAAAAACATGTTTCAGTCTCCAAAGTGATTCCCCTTGTGTCGCTCATTCAAAGGGCTGAAGCAGCATGTGAACGTCAGGCCAGCTTCCTTGCCACACAACTGGCACAGCAATGCCGGTGCAGATTCAGGGGGATTGAGAGCATTCACTGTCTAGCTGCCAGTACATTTCTGGATGTTAGGTTTAAACACCTTGGTTTTCGAGACAAAGCCAATTTTGAGGTCATAAAAAAACATCTACACTGAAATGCAG